AACCCCCCCCCCCGCCCGCACCCCCACTCCTCTATTACCCACTTTACTCGTTACATAGTATTTAACTCTTCTAAGCTATATAGCATCATTTACCTTAATAATAATGCGTGAGACGTGTGTCCTAGAAAGTACGTACTTTGCCCGAGAGGCTCAACAGTGTCAGTTTCGTAAGTAGACCAGATCTTAACATGCGGATTATCTTTCTGTTCACACCTTTGTAATGCTTTGTTGGGCCAGATTTTGATTTGTTACACGGGGAACGTAGCGTTGCGCCTTTTGTCTAGACAGAGAACCCAATTAGAAAAATATGCGTCTTCCTTCCCCGTAAACGTTTATGGCCGCGCACTACGCAAGTACGAAGGAGATTAAAAATAAAATAAAATGAAACTAAAAAAAAGGAACAGAATAGAGAAGAAAATGATATCGAGAAGAAAGAAAAGAAAGAAACGAATGTTTGCGTTCCTCGACAAATAATGTTTCTTGCAACACTCTGTATTTATATGTATGTGTCTCTCTTTCTCCCTCTTTCTCTTGGGAAACATCCAGCATCGAAAAAGGATCAAAGAAATAACTATAAAATTCGGAATGAGGAACTCAATGGGATTCCATGTTGCCAAAGCTATCGATGTGACGTAAATGTTAATTGACCGGCAACTCGATCGTAAAACTCGACCGGAATGAGCTTTATACGCTCCTCGAAACTGTAAGAGACTATTAATGTTAATGCCGTACGTAAACGTCTGTTCTACGTGAAATCGATTTGTTGCATCTGAGAAAGTACACGTACATTATATAATTATTATATTATTACATAAACATATATAGTACATACGAAGTCGCTGCGATTGTCAAGTATAATACAAAAATAAAATGCGCGTTGCAATATGCACATTACAAATATTTATATAAATTAAAAAATATATATACATAAATATTATATATACACGTACATGTCTAATATTCGAGTCCATTTACGTACTACACGTGAATCGATCTTCTCTATCTATATGAGAGTAAAATGAATGGTATTTAAATAAACACGAGATAATGTTGGAAGTATATGCAAAGATTTTCATTGTTGTTCAAACGGATTTTCAAAACAGAGCAATACAAAAGAAAGAAACAAAAAAAAGATAAAATGAAATAAGAAAACACAAAAAAATATCAAAGAAAGAAAAGAAACAAAAACGATGTCACACTGAAATGATATAGAATTGTGTTGCGTGCTTGATGTAATCAAAACCAGCCCGGTAGAGAGACTTTAGGTACGAAATCACTAATACTATTAATATGTATCAGTGTATCTTTTAATGGCTAGAATAAATGCTCTTATACTTTTCCATCTGCGTATATTGTGAGAGCAGCGTCAATATGAACACTAGAATAGTGAAACAGTAGTGTAGTATTGTGGTCGGTGTTTTTTTCAATATTGTATCGTCGATCTAAGTGTGGTAGTGGCGTCGATAATGTGTCACGTGCTTTGTACGAACGAAGCATCGACAATTAAAAATTCCGAATTATGTTTTTATCAAAATTCAAAATTTTCTTGCATCCAATATTTTTCGTTCCAATTGCCATTTGTAATTCCGAGAGTTTATAAATTTATTTAAATGTTATGCCTTCCTCGCGATCGCACGACACATTATCTGCCCTTAGTCAATATCTAATAAGCTACATAGTCAGCCTAGCAAATATTACTTAACGGTAAATGATTAACCAATACCTTGAAGGCTACAATAACCATAGATCATAGGAGGGTTTATTTTGTGGTAGAATTGAAAACACCTCGGCCGCGCGTAGTTACTAGTACCTTGTCACAGAATTTAGTCGATGCGCTATATAGTCGATGCGATATACATATTATAAATAGTCAGAATCTTAGTTGTGTGGTCTTTTCAATTAGTATCAAATTATGAAATTTCATGGATGCCTTTCTTTCTCTCTTTCTATATACTTCTATATACTCTTTTTCTATAAACTTCTTTGTTATATCTCCTACTCTCTGTCTAACCTAGAACGCTTTTAATCCGACTTCTTCTTTCAATCTGTTTTATTTTCTAATTTTTGTTCAGTTTTCTTATCTTTACTTTTCACCCTTCTCTCATTGTTTGAAACCTAGTCATCCGTTACACTCGAACCGTCTATACCGACGAATTTCTGCAACGCTTTGCTTTATACTTAACTTGTCTCCATGTACATATTTTAATTGTCTACGCATTACCTTTGCCTGCACGAAGAAAAATATTGCACAACAGAATCATCAGTTAGACACTCGTGAATTAAAATTCACGATAGTCCTCATAGTCGCGCGTACTCACCCTCGGATATCCGATCGAAAATTTTATTTTTTTAGGCTTCATTCGATCGCTCAGTACTTTTCTTCGTGCTTAGTTGCAGAAATTTCTATATTGGGACTTACGATTTACTATTTGCACTAACTAATCGAAGCAATTGAAATGAGTAAATGAAGGGAAAAGAATGATAAAATGAAGAGACAAATTTTTCTATCCGATTCTGATCAATCTCGTCACGGTATTAATGTGATCTGTTTTTCCTTGTAGATTTTATGTGGTCCCTGGGAGCATTACCTGATGGTGAGTATTGAAATATGCACGAACACGTACAACAAAACGACTCCAATGTCCAATGACATGCCTACCGTTCCGTAACAACGTTCAATCACGTTTGACGTAAGACCATCGTTGTAATATTCACGCGTCGATCAATCACGAAAGCGATACAAAATTCTGTATGCTACTTGCCACGAGTTTTCTCGTCCTAAGTCTCATACATGATTCACCCACGGTGCACGGATAAAATCGTACAACCGTTCCACTTTGTGTGTCTCCGTAAATTTTTGCCTTTGTGAAAATACACTGGTTCATTAACGTAATTATTCGGTTAATGCGTACCTGGTTACTGGCATCATTCGATATTGCATCGGAAAAACGCGTTTGCCGTATCAGAAATACAATACATTAATTTCATTCGAATTAAATAGAAATGTGAAAAACGAACTCGAGAGTATCTTTCTTCGTGGAAATTGTTTGACCAGTATAATTTTATAGAGTTTTCAATCGAAAATGTTCTGTAGAGTAACACGGTACGTACTTGGGAAATGTTTTATCTAATATATTTTACAGAAGGGAGCATGTAGATCGTAGTTGATAGAGGACATATTTGTATATTAGATAGACATAACTTATTAAATCACACTTTTCAATCTATATACTGTAATGTAACAATTATTAGAAGTTTCTAATGATATTATACAGTGCGTTAGAAATACCTTGGTAGTATGGTTACCTAATGTCAAGATATCTTTTCATAGTTAAATATTCATTTGTACTCTTGATTCAAAATAAACGTATCACAGTAGTCTAGTTAAATAAACAATTGTTCGTACTTATAAGATATTTACTTGTATAAATAAAATAGTAATTTTCATGTGCTGATTTGGCAATCTATTGATATTAAATTGAATAAGAAAAAGCCTACTATCACAGGAAGGGACATAATAGGTAACAATGTTACGATAGTGCTAACTTAAAGGACGACAAATAAAATTATGTGCAATGCTTTTCTTAAAATAATTCAAACTGACCAGCTTTAAAATTAGAGTTCGATAATTTCTACTAATCCACAAGCTTCGCTGACAATCAGAAGAGATCGGGAAAAACGACGTATCCCGCTTTAGCAACAAACACACGCATTCACACGCATCGTTACGATTCGACACGAAATATTCAACACGCTCCATAATCCTCCTCCATACGTTCCTGAAAAGCTTCCGAGCCCAGGTAACCAAGCACAGGGAAGAAAAGCTGACAGATTCTTTTGCTCTGTTCACAGGTTTCCCAGCGGCGGCGTACGCGGCATACGCGGCAAGCCGCGGCTATTCTGGGTACCCTAGTTTCGGACTGCCCTACCCGACAGGTAACCACCTTAGCCTTAACCACCTTAACCACCATAATGCGGCCCACATCGCGCCCTTGAATCTGAACTTGAACCTAATACAGGCGCAGCCTGCCCCCCACCATAATCCGCCTACCCCTACACCGCTCTTTTACCATCCCAATTTGGACCTCTACAACGCCATGCCTCTGTGAACTAACTAATTATATGTGTCTAATAATAATCTCGACATCGAGCTATGCGCACATATCTCTAATCAAAAGAAAAACTCACTTCCATTGCTACACCATTTTACTAACTGTGCTCTCGCTGTCGCTACTCGTTGCCCTGCTCGTCGTCGTCGTCGTCGTCGTCGTCGTCACCGTCGTCACCGTCGTCACCGTCTTTGTCTTCGATTTAACACGAGAATCGGGCAGGTTACCAGTGGATGTCGGAAAATCAAGATGAGCTAATCGTCAGAAATTAAGCTCGGTTTGAAGGAGCGGGCAAGTAGCAGATCTCGCGCGTACAAGAATCTTGAGAGATTGTGGCGCTTTTGTTACAGGACCGTCGGCCTCTTGCCGAAATTCTCATCCGAGAACAATGGCTCCTTAAGCACTCGAGATTGAGTTCGATTCGAAGCTTGACAATTTCGAATAATCGACTAATTTCTAAGCGGATTTCAAAGTGCTCCTTTGAAGTGGCCCTTCGAAGTGATCCTTCGAAGTGGCCTCCATCGCGAGTTCGAATTCTCGACGATGCGCGAAAAGATGTTCGTGAAAACATAATCGATTCCTCTATTAAGGAGGGCGAAGCGTGCATCGTCAATTCTGCTCGCGTTTTACGCAGAATCCTTTCCCGACCAGGCAGGTTGTGTTTATGAGACACGGAAGCTATTGGAAATCCATTTCCGCGGCAGAGTTCCGCTTTCGACGACAGGACACTCGGGAAAATAAGTGATCTAATGTTACGTCACAGACCGACGTTCTATCGAGAATGGTACGGTTGTGCGCTGTACGTCCAACGCGAAGGACGTTGTATATTATTCAGCAACGTTTGCTCGGGTTCCGACGATCCTCAACTTCCGGGCCGAAGTTTCGACCGCCGGAGCACCGACAGTCGGTCTCACTCGATACGAAAGGAGTGGTGAACGTTGTACAAAATTGCTATAAATTATCGTATCGATATTATGTTGTCGAGGTTAAGATTTAAGATAGAAATAAGGAGGTGCCGATTCTCTTCGGCCAATTTTCCACCCCGTTCCGTGTTTACCCGAAAAAGATTTTAAGAACAGTCGATTCATCTTGTGACGATTTATCTGTTTAATTGTTACTTATGATTCACATCTATTAAAGTTTCGGACATTCAGCTATAATTCACGCCAAATAACAATTATATCTTGACATTTTTAAAAAATTGCAGATAGCTTCTTCAGAGATAAGACGATATACTGATATTTTATTATATTTCATATCGTTCCGCAAGAACCTAACTGCAATGCTGACAGAACTCAAAAGTATAGTTCGTAAAGTAAAGTAAAGTAAAGTATAGTTCGTGATTGGTTGGTTTATATAACAAATTTTGTTAAAACCTAAGGTTTTGTGAAACCTAAAGCCTTTCGCTTGGAAATTTGAAATAGAAGAATCGCGTATGTCGAATATGTTTATTCAGCATAGATACGTAATCAGTATACGTCTCAAATTTGTTTTTATTTTTAGTGTTCCGCGGAATATATTTTTAAGCTCGCATGAATCAAAGTGAAAGATATTTACGTTTTAAAGATACGGTTATTCTCCAATCAAATTGTGTTGCAAGTTACAAACGTAACAAATCGTATTCGCGTCCTTGATGCTCGTCCGGAGAAATACGCATACACAAAGTCCCGCGATAAAAATGCAGATCGAACAGAAGAAGAATCCAGCGAACTAGGACAAGATAATGAGAGGCTGATGTATGGGAAAAGTTACGTCGTTAAACAAACTCTGTGTTTCTTACCTCCTGCATTCGATAGCATCTTGCGTGCCTTCGACTGTCAATAACAAACTGCTCTGCTGGTACGGAATTTTCTTTCAAAGCATCGAGGCTTTACGATCCTCGAAACGCTTTAAAATTGCTTCTGCTAATCGATTAATCAATTTCAATTACGTTCTCCATCTCCCTCCCTCTCTCTCTCTCTCTCTCTTTCTCTCGGTATAGATCGTTAAAGCGTACATCGAATCGGATCGATCAGTGTAGACGAATGAGGCAAACAACCAACGAGCAAAATGAAAATTTCAACGAATGAGTTAAAGGAACGGCCACGATACGAATACCCTCTGCTACTAAATAAATTTTCGATCGCTGCATAGGGTAAACTTATTTATTACGCGATACGATTCCACTGGAAATCGTTCCTGCGAGTAGCGTATGCACACGAACCTTCGTACGATCTCATACAAGACACGAAGTCGTCGGATTTCAATTCCAACGAATACATATACAATTTCGATAATATATTTAAATCGACTGACTATCGAATCGATTGTAATTTAAGATTAATCGTGCGGTCGCGGAACGGGGTAAAATGTCATTGTTAATATTAGGTAGGGGTAAAGGGAGCGTATCGATTACAAACGATATGCGAGTGAACCGCATCGCGGTTAACCCTGTACGCATAGATATACACAAACGCAGGCTAGAGCAATTAATAGGAAACGTTTGGAAAATGAACGCGTCCATAGGTGGGTATCGACTGATCTAAATCGAACCGGTTGATTGGAGGTAGCTGCGGGCAAAGTTTTCGAGGTCAAGCGCCCTTCATGTTGAATTCGAACTCGAAATGAAAATCCGCAGGCCCACGTTCAGCAAATGAAGAAGCCCAAAATGAAGATTCGACCATGTCGCTTCTCATAACCAGGGCACTCCATCAGACAAAATTTCGTGTCGGAGCTGGGAATTATACGTTTACTACTCGCTTCGATCGGCTCGCGAGATGCGAAAACGACCCTCGGGAATTTAATGTGGTCATCGACGATTCCCATCGATTTGTTACTTCGTTTTATACTTTCCGTTCTATCCGTTCCACCGACTTTTATTTGTTCGTTAATTATTTCCCTCCGTATTTTTGCAGTCTCGTTATCGTATTGGTTATTTTTAGATAATCGATATGGATATCGATAGCGTTTGTTAAACTCTATTGCGTTGCGTCGAAACGACCGTTCGAGAGATAACTATGTCCGTATGTAACGGAACCACGTGAAAACAGAGAAATACAGTACAGTAATCACGCCTCCTATGGTGAGCTTTCGCAGACGTAACGCTAGTTCCGAAGAAGCTTCTTTCGATCCCCGTAACTACTGCACCCCTGCCCTCTGTCCGCCGCTCGACCGTTGCTCTTACACGTCTTACTAGCCCATTTGTTCCCTTCTCTTTTGTCCATTTTTGGCCATTTGTCTGCTACACTCGTCTTTCTCCGCGGACTTTCTCTCTTTCTCTGTTTGACCTTTTCTCATCGTTACTCCGTGCGAGCTCCTCGAAGAGGAAATTTCGAGGCGAAAGTTTTCAACTTCTTCCTCCCTGCACTTTGTATCTCCTTCCTCCACCCGGTTTGAACTTGTGATACCACCCCTTTATGTGAAGCATGACACGAAAATAGCGAAGCAATAACATATAACGCCAATAGAGGCGGACAAACTGCGACAGGTGTCCCATGCACGTCGACCGGACATAAATTAGCTGCAAGGAAACAGACGTAAACGCTGCTGTGTGAAAAAAGAACATCGTGTGTATATCCACGAAAACAATTCGTGTATATTACGCGACGTATAACGTAAACGGTTTCGAATATCGCGCTTTTTTCGCCGTTGATCTAATCGCCGTGATATATATATTTTATTATTTTTTCCCTTCGAAGTACATCGATCCTAAGAATAATTCACGTGGACGAGCAGAAAGAGAACTCATAAATAATGCATAATGTTTTTCGGACGTTGGTTCATCCCTCGGAACGAACATCCCTTCCTCGTGCGTCCTCTTTTTCTTCGATTCCCTCCGCCATTTCAAAAAAAGAAACCGGCATATTTTTACTTTCCTCCAGAGACCATACGTCCCGATGTTCCCTAGAATCGTTTCCAATTTCCCTCACTGTCCGCTATTTAACGCATTTGAATAACCTCCAGTCCGGGAAGTGGAGCGGTTGCGCGACCGCAAACGCTCCCTCCTCTTACTTCCTTTTTTTCTGTACTTTCTTTCGTACTTTTGCGTATGGTTCACGAGGCATGGCGGTAGAAGGAAGAAAAAGAAATTGTGGGTAACGACCACCAATGATTGATCACTGCGAATGAAAACCCTTCCGCCTTAAAGTCGTCCGTATACTCCCAATGTCCGAAAAACATTCGTCGGTGAAGCCACCCTCTCTCTCTCTCTCTTTCTCTCTTCGAATACGAAAGAGGGGTGGCCGATACGCGACCGGTGCGCGAAAATGAATTTCCTCCTTGTTGAAAAGATATTTTCCGACAAATATCGAACTCACGCGTCGGAATTTGCAATCGAGAGAAATTCTCGTTCGACCGTGGGCGGCAGTTAGACTCGCGTTAGACACTGCCCAATGAAGGAATACGTGTATATATATATATATATCGATAGATTTCTCTTAGATGGTTGAAGAGGTGGTGGTGTTAGAATGATTTCACGTGAAATCGCTCGCGACGGAACCTGCTCGTTTGTTCTCCGAGTCGATCCATCAAGAGAGATTAAAAGATTTCCTCGTGCCTGGGATAGCTCTTTGTTTCAGGGAGAAATTGTAATGTGACGGGATATCGGACGGTGGACTGGTTCACGGTACTAATGTTTTTTGATATGCGAGTACTTTCATTTTGTTGATTACATGTTTGGTTACATTTAGTTAAATCGTGTCAAATACATGTTTGATGTTAACATACATAGCCATGGTGAATAATATCGTACATTGTCATGAAACTGACATGACGATACATTTAACAATGAAATAATTAACGGGTGTAATACGAATTCCAAAATCAATTTTACAATGTCTGTTTCATTAA